GCCTAGCCTGTCTAGCCTTTTCTTATAAGACAGTGGTTTTAAAACAGTGCACGATGGTGCGCCGTGAAATTTTGTACAGAGGTAATAAAAATAAATAAACTTGAAACATTATTGAATTTGATCCTTATTTATTTGTTGTGTATACCATGTTGCAAAATTTGCTACTAAGTCTGTAACCATAGTAAATCCAATTAAATGTGATACTTATGAGCAACTAATTTAGCTGAAAAAAGTTGGTTTGCCATGGAATTGTCTGCCTCAATGAAACATGCCGTGTCACTGAAAAGATTGTAACCACTATTATAAAGCAATCTGTTCATTCCAGCTATTAGTCTAGTAAACCTGCTTTAAACGGCTTCCAATGCATTAACATCTTCAGTAAGCACGGTGACGAGTATTGTACACAGTATTCCAGATGTGTTCTCGCCAATGTCTTGTATACCTGAAACATAACATACCTACTTTTGCATTCAATTCCCCTCTCAATAAAATATAACATTCTATGAGCTTTCCTAATTACTTGTTGAACGTGCATTTCTTGCACTAGGACACCTAGACCTCTCTGCATCTAGGAACACTGCAATGTCTCACCATTTAGATTATATGCAGTTTAATTCTTTGTTAAAATGGCCAATTTCACATTTTACCTATTTGCCTCAAGCACTAACTCTTACACTTTTTATAATCACTAGAAACCTCCTCTGACAGTGCAACATATATTTCTTATGTTCTACCTGCCAATTGGCTCTGCATGGGTAATATCCAGTGTTGACCAATTCATTTGTCTTTCAATTTTCATATAAGACAACGAATGCCTCCACATCCATTTTCTTAAATTGTGCCAGGGCTTGTACAAGCTTTCCTAAAACATTTTAATACAAACATTTCCTTATTGAAATTAGATCATAACTAGGATACTCCTCATTAGAGGCTATATTAGCATCTCGTGCCTTTATTTAAGCAATAGCATTTAAGCTTACATTCGCATTCTCTATCTTGCTCTTCCTCCCTTTGCTATTTTAAGTTAAGTTTTGTCATGTCTATTTTCATTCTTCCCAATTCCACCTCCTTTTCTCATTTCCTAAGCTCTAGTTCCTTTTTTTGTTATCTCAAGCCGTCTTATCTGTAACTCAGTAACACCTGTTTCTGATGTTTCACTACCTAGGATGCCTGGTCTCTACTATATTTACACTAAACACTTGTCTTGTACTTGTCCACGATTATGTCTGCCTTCTTAGCTTTAGCAGATAATTCCACTCCCAATTTACCTGTCAATTCAACGAAACTGGCTTTTGTAATTTCACTTAAAATTCATTGGGGACAACACTGCCACCTGCAGATAGCAAGAAGCGTAGTTGCTGGAGTGAAAGTCGATACAGTGTGTAGCTGGAGGAACACAGGTCAGGCAGCATCAGAGGAACAGAAGAGTCGACGTTTCGGGCGCGTCTAGGTCCGAAACGTCAACTCTCCTGCTCCTCTGATGCTGCCTGATCTGCTGTGTTCCTCCAGCTCCACACTGTATCGACTGCCACCTGCAGGTAGTCCTTCACAATTTCCAGCACTATATCTTATTTGGCATAAAGAACCTAGTGTTTCTTTAGTCCTTTATCACTTGCTAATATTACAGCCAAATCATCATTGTTTCAAAATAATCCAGCAATACCATTTAATCCTTTGTCAAAACCAATTTGGCAATATGTGCTGATACTCACTGCCTCTAGGGTTATCACAAAAGTTAAAGATTTTAATAAATTACCCAAAGTCCCCAAATTTTCTGTCTAATAAACTTAGGTTAGCAGAAAATACTGATAGATTTCTGTAGTTAACAAGAAACTACATTACAAAGAAATCAATTCTAATCATAGGTAAACAAAACTATGACATCATTAGTAAATAACAGCCAAAATTCTTAACACACTTGTAGGAAAACTAACATACACAGAGATGATGATTGGAGGTAGAAGTATTGGGGAAACACAGCTCAATAGCACCAGTCCATGGGATTCAGTAAGGTATTGCTTTGGTTTCTGAAGTCCTTCTTATTTCCAAGCTTCTTACTCATTCCAAGTTCTTCCAGGTTTTATTAACTGCAGCCACAGGGAAATTAGCACACTTTTTTTTCAGTTTCTATGAGGCAACACTTCATTGTAAATGGTGAGGAAAAATCGCTACCTATCTTCCAGATTTTGGTTACTTCACTACATAGACAGCCTTTCTTTGTTGCAATCTGGATAGCTCCACCTATATATTCTTCATACAGTCTCTGATCACCTGCCCAGGAGCCAATCAGACAATCATTATCATGGCGATGACTCCTGGTCACCATAACTGGTCCTCATTACGCAAACCAATCAACTATCTGTATCTAAGAGCCCTCTTGTGGCACAGAGATAGCATTCCTAACCCCTAGACTAGGAAGTCCAGGTTCAAGTACCCACCTATTCCTGAGATGTATAATAATATCCCTGAACAGGTTGAAGAAAAGTAGGTTTTAAAAAGTGCCTGGGCCAAGTTTGCTCTGCACACACCCATGGTGTCATGGCATCCCACACTGTTTGAACAAAGCTACAGTTTAATGCCAATTCATCATAATTTCCAATAACTTGCTTTTAAAAAGTGCAACTACTCATACTGTTCTTGATTTAAATCCTTTCCTATTTTAGTCCACAATCCAAAATAGAAAAAAAATGAAAAGAAAAAAAATGATCTTAATAGAGAAACTGGGAATGGAGGGAAATTATCAGAGGAGCCAGGGGATTCGAGGAGGATTATCACAAGGGAGAGTGGGAATACAGGGCGATTTCACTGGAGGAAATGAATACGATTATCACAGGTCGAGCAGGCTATTCACATAACGAGGTGGAATGGGGGGATATTATCATAGGACAACATTGGAATTTCACCAGAAGAGGGAGATATGTCGGAGAAAGCAGGGTGATTGTCACGGCGAGGGAGCGTAACGGGGAATCGAGGGGAGCGTGGGAGGATTTTCACAGGGAAAGGAATGAAGATGAATTATCACAGGGAAGGGTATAATGGAGACCTTTCACACAGGGAAGGAGATTATTAGTGGGAGGGGGAACGGACAGGTATTACCACAGTGAGAGAGGTAATGGAGGTGAATTATCAGAGAGGTATTATCGAAACTGGGGTGGAGGTAGGGATCGAGGATTATCCCAGTGAGACGGGAGTTAGAGATGTATTATCACAGGGGACGGGGAATAGAAAGGTATTCTCACAAGAGGAGGGAATGGAGGATGATTATCAAAGGGAGAACATTGGAAGGGCTTATCGATACAAATTAATCCTGTTCCTCAACTTTTTCGCCGCGTGATGTGAAAGTTCACTGCGGTTTTGGTTCCCTGGTGTTGCTGCATATTATTCCCTTCTCGTAAATGAAAGAAAGTAAAAGGAAAGTGTGGCCTCGACCTCATTCAACAAATACTTCTCACACCTCCTGTGATCCCCAACTGCGCAGACGCAGTAACTGGTAACGAGCCGTTGCCTCCCGGATATGACGGAATTGTCAATCATTGTTTCTCTGTGGAATTAATAGATGGCTTTCTGAAAACGTCACAATGTCTCGCCTCCACCCGCCATTGAACTGTGGATGCTGCCTCGAGATTCTGAAGATCATCCCAGGACGTCAAAATAAACATAAAAGATGCATTGCATGCAGGTTGATTTTGTTCTATGTTGCTTTTTTGAAGAGACTTCTACATGATATGAGGGAAAGTGGGACTAAGCTCGACTGCTGTTTCCAAAGACCCAGGACATGATTGATTCGCTGAAAGGCTTGTGTTCTCCCAGTGCTTATGATCTAGACATTTGTATCTGTGAAACACGACAGTCTGAACGTTTCTGATGTGCGGCTAGCAGAAAAGTACTAAACAGACACCAACAATACTTGTTTATTGTTCAATTCAGGTTAATTTATGAAAGATTTTGAATTTGCTTTTCGTGAACGCTTTGATAACGAATTTTGACATTTCGGTATTGGTTCGTACAGGGAACATTAAAAAAACTTGGATTTATTCTTTTTTTTTCGATTTGGGGTGCCTTAGAGCGCTTTACCACGTAAAGTAAACTTACAGTAATCACTATTGTAATGTAGGAAGATTCCTTCGATGTCAATTTGTCATAATCTTTACAAAACAAAGAAATTGTACTCATTTTTCTAACAGCATCCCACTTTAGTATTGATATATAATATCCGAAATCGTCCTTTCGATATGATGTAACCTTCAATTCATCTTTATATTTTTTATTGTGAACCTTATGCTACGGAGAATTAAAAACTACGCTCTTGAATTGCTATGAACCCCGCAGAACCTAGAAGTGCACAATATTTCTCAGAAATAGATGCTTCGGACTAAAGTATTTTAAACTTGTTTACATGATAAGTGTTGCCGCGAGGAGCAAGTTGCCATGTTTATAAAAACAAAGTAATTTTTTTTGTGTGTTCATTTTGTAACACTTAGTGGGCAATATGAATGTAAAGCTAAAATAACCTTTTTATAAGAATGATTTAATGCAAGATTCCCGCATTACCTCAACAAAATCGATAATTTCTACACATTTCCGGGTTTCGTTGCATTGTCGGGAAAGACGGCAGAAATTATTGAGCGGCCATATGTAGCCTTATAACGGTTTTCAGAAATTCTCCAATCAGATTGCGGATATAACATATTTAGCCGTGAACATGAATAAAATTAAGGAAGTAGTCTGCAGCATGTGTTTTCATTTGTTTTGTCATCTGTGATTAGTGACACTGCTACATTTATGCGTTATGCAGCGAATCGGGCAAATGCAACCTCAGTGAAATTCATATGTCAATTAAAGCTTAAAAATCGAGAACGACTGATTATTCAGAAAACTAATTTCGTGGGATTATATCAGTTCATTGCGATCTTGCGTTTCTTTCTTTGTCTCCCTATTTACTGTGGCGGATGTGCTTACTTCTAAGTATTGAGTTTTCTGTTCAGTCCGGGCCTGTGATCCGGCTCTTCATGTTTGGAGCAGTGGCTCCATGACGTCGTCGAGGCTAGCGACGCAAAGACTACGATTCAAAATCCCGTTGAATTTGTATCCACATCAACGCAAAACAATACAACATCTGGAGTTTGCGCATGAAATTTCAAGGTGATTCAGTGGTGATTTAACAACACTTAACTTTAACGTTACTTCAAAGACTTTAAACTCACGCAATAGCGGGAAAAGTGCTAATTTTGCTTACAAGAGGGACTTTAAACATTTTCGGCAAAAGGCAGCAAGCAGAAATCTTCACAAATACCATTCATTTCTTTATCTGCACACTGTTTGGATTTTTAGTTACGTTGCAAATTTATCAGCGTTTACTTTTTGTCGAATGCAAGTTACTTGATGCGTTGTGTAAATTATGATACATTAATATAAATTAAATAGATATTAAATAAATAAATTATAAAATTAAATTCAAGCTAGTTTAGTTATGCAAATCGAAACTAATTATTGTTAAATTATTCATGTTATCTCTTTGTAAACACATTTTGTTTGTCATTTATATATATATGATTTAGGTAAGAATATAGAAAGCATGGTTAGTAAGTTTGTGGATAACACCAAAAGTGGTGGTATAGTGGACAGTGAAGAAGGTTATCTAAGATCACAAAGACATCTTGATGAATTGGGTCAATGGGCTGAGGAATGGCAGACAGAATTAAATTTGGATAAATGCAAGGTATTGCATTTTAGTAAAACATACAAGGGCAGGATTTAAAACAATCAAAAGTAGGACCTTGTATAGTGCTGTAAAATGAATGGAGAGACTTAGGGGCTCAGGTACATAATTCATCAAAGTTTGCGTTGCATGTAAACAGGGTAGTTAAGAAGGTGTTTAGCATGCTTGCCTTCATTGCTCATACTTTTGAGTATAGGAGTTAGGACCTCATGTTGAGGTTGTACAGGATGTTGGTGAGGTCTCTAACGGGTTGGAGAAATTTGCAAAGAGAAATACGTCAGGAAGTGGTCAGCATGTACCATCCTTGGGACCCTGTGGGAAAAGGAGCAGGTGGATCCTGTTGGGTTGTTCCCTCAACAGACTATCAAAGCCATTTGGCAGAATGCCTCATCACCAGAACTTTCCAATAAGCACCATGACAGCGCTTGGCTGGTGGTGAGAACAGCACTACCTGTGAGATCCTTCATGTACGCCCGAACTCCCTGTGCCACCACTGCTCTCGAAGCAGCTGCAATGGGGTAGAGACTGTCAGACATCTCCTGTTGGAATGTGCTTTTGCAAAGGAAGTATGAAGAAAGGCGCAGTAGTACTTTAGCATTTGATTTTCCAAATGGGCCTGTTGTAACAGCAGTCAATTATGCACAGAAGTTAAGATGGCATAAAAGTAATTACATTGTTCAGCCAGAAAGGTAGTTTACTTGAAGTCAGTTATGATATAAAATGGGTACTTTCACAGGAAACTAAAAGCCATCTTTCTAAGAAACTATTGTTTGATTCTTTGTATAAACTAAAGCATTTTAACCAGGCCTCAGAGGAGGAAAGGATAAAAGGACATTTAATAATAGTGTTTAAAATCATGAATGGTTTAAATCAGTAAATAAAGAGTAGACTGTTCACAATGGCAACAGAGTTGGTAACCAGAGAGTACAGGTTTAAGGGGATTGCCAAAAGAATCAGAAGACATGAGGATAAAACTTAGATTTCGTGGTTAAGATTTAGAATGCTCTGAATATCCGGAAAACAAATGTTCTGCACCAACCACTCCTGCTACTTTGACCATCAAAATCCACAGCAAGTCCCTGGACAACATGGATCATTTCCCTTACCTCAGAAGCCTCCTCTCAATGTAAGCGGACTTTGACGGTGAAATCCAATATTGACTCCAATGCACCAGTGTAGCCCATGGACATGTGAGGAACAGAGTGTTCAAAGTCCTTTCCTGAAGCCCCGCATCAAGCTCATGGTTTATAGATCCCTCCTGTACATATCAGAAATATGGACCATGTACAGCTGACACCTCAAATCCCTGGAGAATTATCACCAGCACTGTCTTCACAACATCCTGCAAATCACACATCACCATTTGAAATGGGTGGGTCACATTGTCTGCATGCTGAACTCAATACTCCTAAAATATGTGCCTTGACTCCCAGCTCTGCAATGGTAAGTGATCACTAGTAAGGCACAGAAAATGTTACAAAGACAATGTGAAAGCCACCCTAAACTAAAGCAACATTCTCACTGGCACATGGGAATTGATTGCTTTAGAACACTCAAATTGAAGAAGCATCTGCAAAGCTGCCAACCACTTTGATCATCACCAAGTGAAGCACTTGGAGGCCAAGCATAAGCAATGGAAAAAATACATAGAAACCAAAGCATCCCACCGACTCCCCTCAAACACCACCTACCAACCCGTGGTAGAGCCTGTGGCTCCAGGTTTGGACCATTCAGCAGAACACCATGTTCCCTCCCACCCCTCCTTGGAGTGGCAGCAAGTCATCCTTGACCCTGAGGGACTGACGAAGAGGACAGAAGGTGAATACAGAATAATTAAAAGCCTTCAAGAGGGATAAACAAATACTTGGAAGGAGAACAAAATTGAAGAGATAGCTGGAAAGAGCCAAGGTATTGGGTTAACTAGATTTTGGTAGTGAAAATCTAAGAATAGTACTTGCAAATTAAGTGTCTAAATGACAGACAGTAGCAGAGGGATCAAGGGGTATAGATACGGAAGTCATAAAAAGTGATGAATGCAATTTAAATAGGCTATTAAAAAGTGCAAAGAAAGCACTGGGTTTTACTTCCACAAGAATATAATTGAAAAGCAGAAAAGTTACCTTAAATCTTTATAGGGGTGGCACGGTGGTTAGCACTGCTGCCTCACAGCGCCAGGGACCTGGGTTCGATTCCAGCCTCGGGCGACTGTCTGTGAGGAGTTTGCACATTCTCCCCGTGTTTGTGTGGGTTTTCTCTGGGTGCTCCGGTTCCCTCCCACAGTCCAAAGATGTTCAGGTTAGGTGGATTGGCCATGCTAAATTGCCTGTAGTGTTCAGGGAGGTGTAGATTAGGTGGGTTATAGGGGGATGGGTCTGGGCGGGATGCTCCGAGGTTCGGTGTGGACTTGTTGGGCTGAAGGGCCTGTTTCCACACTGTAGGGAGTCTATGATGAAGAACCATGGTTAGAGCACAGTTTAGAATACTGTTGTCAATTCTGGTCCAATAAAAAGAACATCAAGATGGTGCAATAAAAAAGTTTTATTAGACTTCTACATGTTGGGAAGGATTAAACAGACTGGGGCTCTAGAAGATTTACTGTGATCTAATAGAGGTCTTCAAGATAATGACAGAATTTGGGGATAGGGTAGATATAGAGAAGATGTTTCACTTGTAGGAAGACTAAAGCTAGGTTTCGAAAAATAAGGTAATCACTCAAAAATCTAATAGAGAACACAGGAGAAATTCATTTACCCAGAGAGTGCTTAGAATGTAGAATTCCAATATAAGGGGTGATTTAGACAACTAGCGTAGAAAACCACTAACATATGAGGGAGAAAACTATAGAACAGCATGTTGATAGGAGGAGTGGAAGATTAGTGGGAAGAGGCTTGTAAAGATAAAGAACACTGGCAAGACATGTTGGCCTGTCAGTATGTATATCTGGAGGGGAGGTCTTCTGAATACAAAGTTTCCCATGCTTTGCGAACTGCTATTAAACATAAAATAAATAAGAGTTAACAGCACAGATTACTTGCAGAATGTCATGGGGTGGATCTTGCGAGATTTGTATAGAATGTGTTTCAGCAAATTGACACTGGTACATTCAGATTATTACACCGTGTTGTTGACTCTCTTCATTCAACTAAAAACGTGACAGATTCACAAAATGTTACGAACTCCAGTCTAGGTTTTTATGTGGTACTATCCCTAACTGAAAACAAGTGATATTTTAAATGAGGCACAAAATAAGTTTGTATTTATTATTACAATCAACTTTCCTGCTTTTAAGGGGAACTTGTATAAGATGCTAGGCCACAGGTGAGTACCATGTATAGTTTTGGTCACCACACCATAGGAAGGATATCTTGAGGGACATCCTGACTGCACTAGAGTGGGTATAGAGGAGATTCCCCAGGACATTGCCTGGTTTGAAGTATTTTAGCTATGAAGAAAGACTAAATAGGCTGGGTTTGTTTTCCCTAGAGCAGAGAAGGCTAAGTAGTGAAAACTATGAGAAGCATATTTTGGATAGATAGGAAGACATTTTTCCTCTTAGTGAAGGGATCAATAGCAAAGGGGCATTGATGTAAAGTATGGATGAAAGATTTAGATGGGATTTAAGGAAGAATTTATTCATCCAGAAGGTCAAGGGTGAATAGAATTCATTGCCTGAAAGTGTGGTAAAAGCAGGAATCATTTAACACGCATTTAAAAAGAACACTTGAAGTGCCATTATATTCAAGGGTACAGGTCCAGTGCTGGAAAATAGAGTGGATAAGTGTTTGATGACCTGCATGGACATGATGGACCGAAGGACTTCTTTCCATGCTACAATTCTAAGTTCTCAAACAAGCAAGAAACCTAGATTTTTGAAAGGGTTTTCACAAAATATTTAGTGATTTTCTTGTTGTCTGTCTTCGGTATTTATTTGCTAAGTAATGTGTGATTATACATTTTTTGCTAATTTACTTATTGGTGCATTCCCAAACTTCACAGTGGATGTTTTGTGGAAGCAGTATTTAAGCCAAATGCATGTAATCATGTCACACACTATCAGATTAAGAGACTGAGTCATACCAGATGTATTTGGCACAGATGACCTCTAAACACAACAGGCAGATTTCCTTGGGCATTGCTCACAATTTATTGGACGTTGATTAAAAAAAAAATCACATAACAAAAGATTGTCACACCTCACTGGAGTAGTGTGCTGGAAATCAAACCCCACACATGCCTAGAATCATTACAAATGTTAAAAGATTTAATCAAACTATTCAAAGTTCCCAGTTTACCTGACTCATGAACTCAGGTAAAAGCAAATATTCGTCAAGTTTCTGTCATTAAAAAGTAAACAGTTATGAATAACAAACAGATTGTTTTTAACCAATAGCAGAAAACAAATGCAAATTACTATAGTCTCTAT